CCTGCCTCTGCCTCCCGAGTGCTGGGATTAAAGGCGTGCGCCACCAACGCCCGGCAAATTAACCCATTTTTATAAATCTATATGTTGCCATGTGGCTGTAGCATTACTGGTCTGCTGGCATCTTGTTGCTCCTTCAGCGGCAGGCTCAAGTCTCTCTCGACTCCACCCTTCTTCTCTCTGTATGTTTGCTTGGATTTTCCACTTTGCTGTAAGCTTTCTTGCCATAGGCCAAAACAGTTTTATTTATTATCCAATGAGAACCACACATATTTACAGCATACAGAAAGATATCCCACAGCAAAGGAAAGCCACTGAGACCAGGAATATGTCAGCCATATCCCTACATGGAGGCCTAGAGAGGCCATTGTGTGAAGCTGTGAAGGTGAAGCTTGGATTGCCTTGGAGACCCCAAGTGTCAGAGATGTTGGAGATGCCAGTGCCTGCCAAGGAAAGCTGCTAACAGGAAGTGGAACCAGCCCAAGAGGAAAAAAAAATATGTTGCAGTCAACAAAGCTGAAAGGAGTTGGAAATCTGAAGAACATTTTGACATCAGACATGGAGATGCAGAGTTTGGAGTTTGCCCAGCTGGTTTTGGTCTTGCTTTGGTCCAGTTCCATAGCCTTCTTCACTATGCTCCCTTTCTTCGCTTTTGGAATGATAATGTATATTCTATGCCATTACATGTTGCAAGTATGTGGTCTACTTTTTGGTTTTGATTTTATAGAGCATTATAGTTAAGAGATTTCATGAGTCTCAGAAGAGATTTTGAACTTTAGACTTTTAGACAGTACAGAGACTGTTAAAGACTATGAAGACTTTTGAAATTGAACTAAATGCATTTTGCATTATGATATGGCTACAATCCTATGGGGACCAGGGAGTGGGATGTGGTGGTTTGAATAAAAATGGCCCCCATAGACTCATGAGGAGTGGTACTATTAGAAGGTGTGGCCTTGTTGGAGGAAGTGTGTCACTAGGGTTGGGCTTTGGGGTTTCAGATGCTCAGGCCATACCCAGTGTCTCACCCTTTTCCTGCTACCTGCCTATTCCTATGTAGAACTCTCAGCTACCTCTCCAGCAACGTGTCTGCCTCATGCTACCCTGCTTCCTTCCATGACAATAATGGACTAAACCTCTGAACTGTAAGTCAGCCTCTATTAAGTGTTTCACTATGAGAGTTACTGTGGTCTTGGTGTCTCCTCACAGCAATAGAAACCCTAAGACAGTGTGAGGACCCAAGAAAGGGGCTGGGACTGTGAAGAATTGAGTAGCCCAATCCCAGAGACACCCCCCCCATAGCCTGACTCTGTTTCCCAGCTTCCTGTGCAGTCAGGATGCCCATGTGACTGAGTCCTGCCAAGGACACATGGCACAATGGGTGTACACTCTTTTCATCATCCCATAAACCTCCCTTCTCTTCCATGGAGGGGTTCAGTCACTGGAGGAAGGCAGGACCTGGGAGGCTGTCCATTGATCAGACTCTTGGATGTGCCTCTATGAGAAAGAACTGTCCTATTGAATGAACATTCTAGGCCTAGCTCTGGACCTGGGGATGAGCAGTGATCTTGTGCATGGCCAAGCCAGGTTGGTGGAAGCTTGGGGACAAAGCTTTTCTGTTGGTGTTTGTGTACCCACCTCCCAAGCCTTGTATCCCCCCCATAGGTTGACCTTACGCAAGTCTCTTTATATTTAAATGTCAAACCTTCTCCAGTAAGTGGCATGGGTAATGGTGTCCCATCCTATTTCACGGTGACACAGATGACAAGGAACCAAGGCAGACATTATTGGTGAACATTTATTTTCCCAGAAGTAGGAGAGGAGGTGGATCTCAGGGCACTTGAGGCTCTGTGCATGGGCAGTGGGCAGGTTAGCACTAATGGTGCTCCTGGTCAGCAGATGCTCCTCCTGGGTTCTGGAGGGACAGGAGCCCCGGACACAGCTGTGGCTGGCAGTGTAAGTCCCCTGGTTTGGATTGAGCCCTCCATGGTCCCTTCTTCTGTTAGCTGAAGCCCAGAGGGGTAAGGCAATGTCCTCAGGGTCACATAATCCAGTCATTCTGCTAAGCTGAGCCACATTCCCTCCAGAGAAGCAAGCAGCTTTATTACATTGCCCAGGACACTCCCAGGGAAGCACAAATGAGTCCTAAACCCTTGGCGTGGCCCAATCACTCAAGAATAATTCCCAACCAAGCTCTTTACCTTAACTATGTCTCCCACTGCAGCTACCACAGCCAGCTGCTTTCTGAGGACAAGAATGCATGGCCTTCCCCGAGTCCAGTTCCTAAATGACTCCAATTCATCTATTTGGCCTCCTATATAGTTATCCTCTTTTCCTATATAAATATGCTAGAGCTTATAATACCAAGCCACGGCAGTCATTGACACCATAGCATGAATTTGATTACCAGTTATTCAGTCAAGGAATCAGAAGAAGTAGAGTGAGGAAGAAAGAGTTAAAAAAAATAACATACGGTTAAAGAGGGATGGAAATAAAGTTAGGGTTTCACAGTTGACTACGTAGTCCCTTTCTAACACCCCGGGTCTCTGTGTTGACAGGAAACTGTCCTGTATCTAGGGGTGGGGGAAATAGTACTTTTATTGATGGAGTCTGCAGCTCCTTTCAGAATTCTGATTCTGAGTCTGCCCTGGTGCTCCCTGCCCCATGCCCCCCCATGCTCCCTGCCCCATGCCCCTGTGCTCCCTGCCCCATGCTGGAGACCAGGAGACAGGTGGAACTCTGGTGGAGACCTTGGCCTAACCCCAGGGCCTGGTGGATTAGCCCGAAATCCTGAGAATTCTACTGAGAGAAGGCAGAAGCCATGGAAGTCTGAGAGGGGAGGGAGTGGCTGGGTGAGTACAAATGGCAGGAATAACATTCCAGATACCAGCAACCTTCCAGGAAGTGGAACTGGGTAGCACAGACTTGAAGCGTGTGGGTCTTCCCTAGGCTGGGGAAAGGGAAGCACCCAGATCTGCAGGACCAGGGCACCAAAGCAAGGGCCGTAGCCTTAGCTAAAGCAGTGTGGAGGGGATGCTGGGAAAGGGCTGGCCAGAATGTGCTCCCTCAGCTGCCATGTTGGCTAGAGGGGCTGGAGGGGCTGGAGGGGAGGTGGGAGGACCAGAGGGGCTGGAGGGGAGGTGGGAGGACCAGAGGCCTGGCAGAGTGAGGACCAGGGCATGGAGGTTGGCGAAGGCAGCATTGTTGGCAAGGCTCTTGCTGGACGGCAGCGGGATAGGACTTGCTGAGCCTTCCTGGAGTGGCCATGTCCATGGTCATCAGGTCTTCCTCACTAGGTCAGTTTGAAGAGAATCCTCTTCACCCAGGGCATGCTGGGGTCAGCACAGATGTCCCGGTTCTTGAAGGTTATCAAACTGTAAGAGACACCAGGGAGTAAGCAGTCGCATTAGTAGGCTAGGAGACAAAAGTATAGACTTGGGAGCTGGCCTAGCTGGATAGGATTCTAGGTTTGCTCCTTGTTAGCAAGTCAGGTAACTTCTCTGAGCCCTGGTTTCCACCTCTATAAAATGGGGTGACAGTCCTGCCCAGCTGTGTGAGATTTTGATGAAGCTATCAGGATACATACTGACCTGCAAGGGCCACAGCACATAGTAGGTGCTCTATAATTGTGTCAAAAGATGTCCTCAACTTTTTACATTAGTTTTTGTTTCTGATCGCTTCTCGGCCTTTTGGCTAAGATCAAGTGTAGTTTTTGTTTCTGTGTGTGTGTGTGTGTGTGTGTGTGTGTGTGTGTGTGTGTGTGTGTGATGGATGCATGTGCACAGGCATGTAGAGACTAGAGGTTATCATAGAGTGTCTCTCTCATTTGCTGTCCATCTTATTTTTAAATAAGGTTCACTGACCTTGAAGTTCCAATTCAGCTAGACTGGCTGGCCAGCAAGGCCCAGCAATATTTCTGTCTTTGCCTCCCCAGTCCTGGGATTACAGGCACATGCTGCCACATCTGGCTTTTTTGCATGAATGTTAAGGATCCAAACTTAGGATCCTCTAGCAAGCACTAACTGAGCAATTTCCTCGTTCCCTTTTACAATAGCTATCTTAATTCTTACAACAATTTCACGTGTCCCTAGTCTACCTACAGATGTAAAGAAATTTGGCCGAATATAAGGAGTAAAGTATGTCTGGGGTGGGAATTGGACTGTGACTTTGAAGAACGTCCCTTCCAGGCCTCTTTGAGAGTCCTAGAGCATCTGGTGGAGAAATAGGTTTGCCTGTGGTGATGAAAGAGTTAACTGTCAGTCAACAGTATCTAGGATCACTTTGGAGACCTCTGGGCATGCCCTTGGGATTATCTTATTTAAAGTGATGTGAGAAGACCCATCTTAATTGTGGGTGGGACTCTTCCCCAGGCAGCAGACCCTGGATAAAGTGGAGACCCGAGCTGAGCACGTGCATTCATCCCTCTGTCTCCTGGTTGTGGATGAGAGTGACCAGCTGCTCCTGCCGCCTTGATTTCCCTGCCGCGATGGCCTGCACCGTGGACTGTGGGCTAAAACAAACCCTGTCTCCCCTACGCTGTTCTTGTATTTTATCACAGCAATTAGAAGAGAACCTCAGACGCCCACCAAGTGTGGCCAAGGCTCCTGCCCTGCTCAGCCATAGCAAATACTGGGCCAGGCCTGGGCATGGAAGCTGGGTTTGGCAAGGTGGGTACAGGCTGGCTGGGGCTGTTCTCCCGTTCCATAGCTGCATCCAGCCATCCAGCTGAGAGCTGCTGGCTCCCACACCCCTGACCTGTCCCTGCGTCACAGACCACAAATAAACAGTGCCCGAGGACAACAGCAACACTGAGCTTGGCTTTTTTCTTTTTTCTTTTTCTTTTTTTTTGAGACAGGGTCTCTCTACATAGCCCCGGCTGTCCTGGGACTCACTATGTAGACCAGGCTAGCCATGAACTCACGGAGATCGACCTGCCTCTGCCTCCCAATGCTGGGATTGGGCCAGCCTGAGCTTGACTTCTTGGGCATCTTAGGCAAGGCTGGTCCCTCCCTGTGCACCCATCTCCCCATCCATCAAGCTGTATTCTTTCTAGAGTTCCTTTAGGCTCAGAGTCCAAGGATCACTAGGTCTGTCCTTCACTGAGCATCTGTGACTTCCACTTGCCGTAGCTGCCCTGTGATGCTGAAGAGACCCTTAAGCTCATGCCACCTCGGCAGTGTGCAAGGGAACCAGACAGACAGTGATTGCTGGGCAGGGCTGTTTCTAGCTAAGGGCGTATGTGCCTTGTGCTCAGCACACGATCTTTCTGCACTTGGGGAAACTTTGGGAGTTATGGCTCTACTGAACTGATGAGAAACAGTCTCAGGGCTGAAGGGCCAGAACCTTGGGAGGGCTCCTGCTCTGCCCTTCTTTACCCTTCTCCAGCTGACATCTCTAAGAGATGGAGTTAGCTGTGGGAGGAGGGAGGGAAGATAGAGAGCCCAAGGGGTGGGGTCATGACCCCAAATCCAAGAACTAGGTGATGCAGCTGGGAGCAGGCTCTAAGGGATTAGACACAGCCAGATGGGCTACCACAGAAAAGATGGGTCTTCCTGCCAGGTGGAGAAAGCCGGGGTGCAGAGGGAAGAGAACACTCCTCCCAGGAATACAGGAGCAACCTGGGAAGCCTTGTCCCATGCTCTTCTTTAGTGAGCCTGCTTGCCATTCCCCTTGCTGAGCCTAAGTCCTCTTCCCTCTCCTGAACCTGGGTCCCTTTCTCTTTGCTGAGCCTGGATCCCTTCCCTTTGCTAAGCCTGAGTCCCCTTCCCTTTGCTGAGCGTGGGTCTCACCTACAAAATGGGCTAACCTCCTGTAGAATTGCTTCAAAGACTGAATGAGTCACATAAGTAGTGCTCAGAATAGCCTGAGCACATGGGTGTCAGCACTTAATAGTATGTCTCTGGCCAAAACGGCTACCTGGAAGAATTCCGGGGGACTGGGAGGACTCAGAATGACTCAGCCGGGAGTGACTCTAGGCTTGATGCTTGTACCCCTACACCCACACTGCTTCCCATCAACAATAGCCTGTGGCTATGTACTGCCCAAATGTCCATGCCATGCTGGGGTGGTACCCAACTATTCAGCTGCCATCCACAGGTCTGTCATGCTACAGATGTTCAACAATATCTGTTGAATGGTACCATCCTTTTGGGATTCAGAACACCCAAGCCTGCCTAAACCATCGCATCCAGCCAAGCCTCCTTGCACTGAAGCTCGCTACATCCTGCCCACCCTTGGTCCACATCCGTCAGGCCCCTCCTCCAAAGCCCCGTGGCCCAGCTTCCTACTCACACAACACCAGGCTTGCGGCAGGACTTTGAGGTCCAGAAGAACTCCTTCACTACACGTAATGGCAACGGACGACGGATGTAGTCTCTGCAGCAGATAGTGTCTTCCACGTTGGTACCATAGGGACCTGGTGGAGGGGTACCCAGGGCACATTAGCTGGAGTGCAGAGATTATGGCCCCAGCCATAATCACAGACTGACCTACAGGGGAAAGATCCTCTTCCACACCGATGGATGTCTTCTAGGCCTCATACAGAGATGCCACTGAGGGCTCAGTGTCTACACTCTGGGAAGTGGATTCAGAATGACTGAGCACCAACAGGCTTCTAAATGGGTTCCTGCACCTCTGAGTCAGAGGGGGCCCCAGCTACCTTGGATCAGGGCATGGCAGACAGCACCTGCGTCCCAGGAGCTTGGCAGATGCTAGGCCCTGCTCCAGACCCACCAACCCTCATGCATGCAACACAGAATTAGAAATATCTTCCTCTTCTCTGTGCCCTGATGAGGCCACAGTAGAGAGGGGAAGGCAAGCATCCAAGGTCACAGTGAGACTGTAGCAGAGTCAGACTCAAGGCTCAGTCAGAAGACAGTCACGACAGACCTGGTTCGAGTCCCACTCTGCCCCTGAGTGACCCTAATCACTTGTCATCTCCAAGGCCCATGGAAGAATGCCAGTTCCACAGGGCTGCGCTTACATGGGGCCTCTCCAGAACTTGACACTGTGAGCAACAACTGGTTGGTTGTAGTTGCCTCATTCCACTGTGGAGACCCTTCTCCTGCCCAGCTCCAAACAGAGGTGTTGATAGTGTAATAGGAAAGAGGGGTCAGGACCCTGCGTCGGCCACAGGCTCCAGAGCAAATCTTGGGTGTTGGGAGGGCATGGCCCGCTTTCTAAGAGTGTCTCTACCTTCCCCAACTCAAACGGATACCTTGTAGGCCCTGTATCTACTTCAAGAGCTCCTATATTTGAGCTGTCTGGGCAACAGGGTCCTCAGGCCTTGCATATCACAACCCCCAGACCAACTGAGGCAGATTGTAAAAGCCAAGCCTTCCTGACTACCTGCTTTATAAATGGGCCCATTTAGAAGTAGTAGCGCTAGCCCAGGGATGCGCCAGAGCTAGCCCAAAGCCACAAGAGCCAATGGCAGACTCACTCTGGGACTCTTTCTAGACATTCCAGTGTCCACCCTCCTGCTCCCCAGGCTCACCTGCATCGGAAGTCTGCAGGACCACAGCAAGAAGGATGAGAGCCACGAGGAGCGGGGTCCGCAGGCTGGCCATGATGTACTTGTCCTTGCCAGGTGTCTTCTGGCCAGAGGACAGGGAGGTCTGGTACTTAAGCACTCTCTCCACCCACTGGTTCGGCTGTCTTAGTCACCACCAAGCCTGACATTCATGCCCTAAAAGAAGAAGTCCTACTTCCCCAGATGGGAGATCCAAGGGCGGGGAACTACTCGGGGGACTGCCACTCATCCAGACTATGGGTCTCCAGAGACTTGTAAAGTCCCCTCAGCGGTGCTCTCCAGAGGCTCTTTGCCCTGTGACCTCAGCCATGTCGCCAGGGGTCTCCTGGTAGAGATGGGGAGCCCAACAAAGCCCCACTACCCCATTCAGTGGCTGTTGGCACATGAATAGCGGACAAGGACAGACTGTTGCCTGGAGCTGAGGCCTTCTTCATGCCTCAAGGCCGGGCATCAGAGTCTCTTTTCAAAGGTGGAGCCCATAAGCCCTTTGGGTCAGGTTTTTGCCCCATAGCCTGACTTCTAGGGTTCCTCGGAAAACTCAGCCTCACATGCTCAGTGGGCTGCCCCTCAGCCTGCACAGAACCTGCTCCTCTCAGCCCTTCCTCGCCCACTTCATCCTCCCTCCTGCCTTCCCGCTGGCTCGGCTTGCTTTACACACAGCCCCTCGTCCCTGATCCTGTCCAGCTCCTCCACCTGCATGGACGCCCACAGGTTCCCCTCCCCACACCGCAGCCGGAGTCAGTGTGCGGACTCAAAGGGCCATGTGGTCCTTTCCTACTTTAAAACCCTACCGGGGCTCCCCAATCTCCTGAGGGCTGAACCCAAACTCCTGACTAGGACCCTTAGGGCCACTTTTCCAAAACTATTACCCACAGTCAGAGGGACCACACCACAGTATTGAACAGTTCCTCAAAGGGTTCTGTGGCCTGACCCTGACGATGTTTCCACTTTCTACGTCCCTACTGCAGAAACTCCTACTCAAACGTCAAGGGCTGCTTGAAATGTCACTTCGTTGGTAAGCCTACTTACTCAGGACTTCACATTCTCCATGTGACCTGGAATGTGGCCCGAGAGGAGCCAGAGGAGACTTTCTTACGAGCACAGGACAGCTGATCTCGTATCGTTCTCAGGATTCAACCTGTTGAGCTGTCTGCAGCTGTCTGTGTGCCCCAGGTTCCCAGTTTTGTGAACTTTCACCTGTACTGGGGTGGGCTTTGGTCATGCAGCTGTCTCTGAATCATTTTTGCTCCTGTAAGTAACTTTTCACCCATATTCCTGTGAGTTACCTCCAAAAAAACTCATTGTTCGCCAAATTGGACCTCAGTGTCCATGCTTTGGTCTGTCTTGGGGCTCCATATCTGGGGTGAGTAGCTGTGTATGTTGCATCTCCCTGTGTAAAGTCTTATCACATAACATTCGGCAGAATAGAGAGTTCTAGAGATGGATGGCAGCCATAGCTGAAATATCTGAACACGCCTAATGCTGCTGAGAGTTCTTCACGTGGTTTGAAATACTAAATATGTGCTGTGAATTGCATACCGGAAATGTGGCCCTCTCCAGGGCAAACCAAGCTTCCAGCACTAATTTCTAGTTAGAGAAAATACAGGAGTTGGATATGGTGGCTCACACGTGTATTCTCAGCTGCTGGGGAGGGTGGAGAAAAGGGTTGCTTGGGCCCATGAGTTCAAAACCATCTGGGTAGTATAGTGAGATCTAGTCTTTAACAAAATAACAACAAAAACTGGAAGAAGATAAGTTACCCCACAAAAGCAATTTGCCAACCCCCAAAGGTCCTTCAAATCAGCTGTCCCAGATTTTATAGTGTGTGTGTGTGTGTGTGTGTGTGTGTGTGTGTGTATCATACATATACGCTTCAAAATTAAGGGTTGGTCATGGTGGCATATACCTGTAATTCTAGCACTCAGAAGGCTGAGGCAGGAGGATGCCTGTGAGTTTGAGACCAGTCAATGACCCTACAACACAAAGCTGGGGTTGCAGAGATGGTTCAGTGGACAAAGTGCCTGTTGTGCATGTGTGAAGACCTGAGTTTTGGCCCCCCAGACCCGCAAAGGTCAGACACATGACTGCAATCCAAGTGCTCCATGAGGAGATGGGAAGTGGAGCCAGCAGGGTCCCTGGAAGCTAACCTGACTCACAAAATGATAAACAAGAAACTCTGTCACAGAAAAAGGTAGAGGGCGAGTGCCAATGCCCGATACTGACCTCTATCAAAGACCTTCTGCAGCCGCACATGGTAACTCAGTCACAGTCTCAACGTCTGAGTGTGAGATAGATCACCATGAGTTTGAAGCCAGTCAGGGCTATACAGTGAGTTCTAGGGAAGCATGGGCTAGATTTATACCCAGCCTCAAAATAAAATAAAATAAAATAAAAACAAAGACCTTCCATAAATAATTGGGGAAAGTGAAATGCAGACTGGTATTAGCTGCTATTGTGTCTTAGAGTAGATTTGCTTCGTTCATTGAAGACCTCAGGGTGTGTAAGAGATGGTCTCGTTCCCAAAGACGGCACGCAGAGGTATTTAGAAGTGAGAATCATGATTTCACAGTTGGGGGAAAATACATGGTGGTAAATGTAAAATGTGTATGTGACACCTTTGGCTGTGGTATCAAATGCATACATGTGTACATAGACTGATATAGAGAGTATTGTGTATGTATAGACTTAGATGCATGTGCGAGATAAGTATGTGCCCGAGATGTATATGTGAATGTACAGGTGTGTGTCTAGAGGGGGAAGCAAAGCCAAAATGGTAAGAGGAAGTCGCTAACAATGGTGGGACTTGGTCACATGCTGAACTAGTCTAACAGCACACTTGACCATCAAACGTGTATCTCATTGAGCTTGGTGGTACACTCCTATAGTTCCAGCACTCAGGATGCTGAGGCAGGAGAATCAAGAGTTTGAAGATAGCCTGGGCTACATAATAAGACCCTGTCTTAAAAACAAGTGAAAACAAAAAACCAAAAACAAAGATCTAGCTTTGCTTTGTCTTTGTTTTGCAGCAGGGTCTTGCTGTGAAGCCAGGCTGGCCTCTAGCTTACAGCCATTCTCCTGCCTCCATCTCCTGGGTGTGTGTGTGTGTGTGTGTGTGTGTGTGTGTGTGTGTGTGTGTGTGTGTGTGTAACAGTCTCATTGTATTGTCCAGACTGACTTTGTTGTTGTTCAAACTTCTGAACTCAAGTGATCCTTCTGCCTCAGCCAAAACATTTTTCTTTAAAAGACCTTTTTTTTTTTTTTTTTGCATTTATTTCTTTACTTATTGGGGATATGGGGACAAGATCTATGCTTCCATCATGTAGATTCTTGGAATTAATCTCTAGTCATCAAGTTCGGCACCAGCACCTCTGCCCTCTGAGCCATATCACCCGCCCAAGAATTATTTTTGCATGTGAAACTCCTCTGTGAGCAACGGCTATCATAAGATCAGTGTAAGCAAGTAACCCTTGGGGCTTTCTTATGGGGCCTCTTAGGGCCCAGGGCCCTCCATGGTTGGCCCGGGGGTCTCCCCCTGGAGAACACCTGGGTCCCCAGGGACTTGGCAGGTCCCAGAGTTCTCATCCTGGCCCAGCCTGTGGGCTTAGTGCTGGCCCCATTCTCCCTGCCCTGGGCACACCTGCAGCCTGGCATCCTCTGACTACCAGCCCTTGGCCTCCCTGACTGCAGGAGGGGCGGATATGGAGTTAAAGGAGCCCTGATGCCCAGTCAGAGCACAGAGCATGGGGATGAGCTTTCAAGGGAAGGAGGGGGAATTCTTGGGGCTGCGTGTGGTAAAGCCCCAGGACATACAGTGGTGGTAGGGATAGGGACAGGTCTCTAATGATGAAGGGGCTGATCTTTCCTCCTCCTGATGGTCACACTGCCTCACTTTGTACCTTACAAGGTATTGAATCTCCTAGATAATCCTCTTGTCCCAACCTCTTTTTTTTTGTTTGTTTATTTGTTTGAATTAATGTTTGTTTGTTTTGAAGAAAAGATCTCACTATGTCGCCCCAGCTGGCCTCTGTAGACCAGTGACCATGTAAACTAGGCTGACCTCAAACTTGCAATGGTCCTCATGTCTCTGCCTCCAGAATATTGGAGTTACAGTTGTGTGCCAGCATTCCAAGCTCTAAATTAATTTTTATTTATTAAAAGCATGAAGCAGGAGTGCTGGTAGTACATGCCTTTAATCCCAGCACAGGAAAGACAGTGGCAGGTGGATCCCTGTGGCTTTGAGGCCAATCTGGTCTACACAGTGATTTCCAGGACAGCAAGGGCTATCCTGTCTAAAAACAAACAAACAATAACAGCATCAAAACCGTAAAGCAGAACCTGGCGGCAAGTACCTGTCATTCCAGGTGTTTAGGAGACTGAGGCAGGAGGATTGCTTGAAGCCTGAGAGTTAAGGATCTGCCTGGGCATCATAGCAAGGCTCCAGAGAGACAGAGGAGAGGGAGATGGGGAGATAACTTGGCAAAGTGTTGTGCTCAAACACAAGGACCTAAGTTCAGATCCCCAATACCTGAGTAAAAAGCCAGCGACAGTGGCTGGGGCCATAGAGACAGGAAACTCCTTGGGGCCTGCCGGCCAGCAGGGACAATCTGGTGAAAGCCATAAACTCCAGGTTCAGAGATAGACCTTAACTCAAAAAATAAGGCGAGGGCTGGAGAGATGGTG